AGCGGGCGAGCCCGGTGTCAGCGCAGCTTGGAGCGCTGCTGGTGTTTTGCGCTCCCCGAGCAGTGCCCTGCGCGCGGCCCTGGCCCGTCCTGGATCGGCTCAGCCCTGTTCCGACGTACTCCCTAACCCGTACGGCAGCCAGGGGCAGCGCAGCGACGGGGAACCAACCCGCGGTGCCTGAGCTGAACTTCAGGAAACCTCAGTGGGTGCTGTGACGCGCCATGAGTTACACCGGCTAATACGTTCCTCTCTTTATGTTGTTCTTTCCCCTTCTAGTTCTCCTTTAACATGTTTGACCACCCCATCCCCCGCGTGTTCCAGAACCGCTTCTCCACCCAGTACCGCTGCTTCTCCGTATCCATGCTTGCTGGACCTAATGACAGGTCAGATGTGGAGAAAGGAGGGAAGAGTATGTGCATGTTTTATTTTGACTAATAAACCTGTTGGAAGAGTGTTTGTGAATATTATCGAGTCGTACAGCTTTTGGCCAGGACTGCAGAGACGCTGAGGAGCATTGGAGACAGTGCTGGTTCAGGACTGGGGCCAGAGGAACACCCTGGGTGGGGCTTTGAGCAGGAAGGAGGATGGATCATCACTTACTGCCTTGCTCTGTAATTAAAACAACTTGCCAAGTGAGTCTGGGTTTATGAGCGTTAGAAGAAGATGATAATCTTTTTTGAAGTTTCTTGTTATAATCTTGGATCTGGTATAAACCATGAAAATTCATGACTAAGGACTTCCCCCTCCCCCCCCCCATCCTGTTGTACCTCACTTAGCTTGAACAAATAATAGTTTACCCAACTTTGTTTCCAGGCTGTCAGGCTAATACTGTGTTGTTTTGAGTTGGTATCAATTGAGAAGCACCTATAAACCCGAACAAATAAAATTAGCCTTAGGAAATACTTCCCTTAGTATTAAGTATTGTAAAACCTTGGGTTTTTTTCTGATTAAATTCTCCATGCTAGCAGGTGTATTTGTCACATCTGATTCTGCTGAAATCTCTGGCTAAAAGTGAATTTGAAAGAGATTTTAGAATTGCCTTTTCTTAGAAGAGATTTTAGGGAAAGGAGTGATAAAGTAGTTGTATGTTATGTAGTGTAGTAGAGATGTACTTTTCTTAATTGGACTTTCTTATTAATTTCTGCAGTAATTATGCCACCATCAGCTCTGGATCAACTCAGTAAGTGAACACTTTATTCTGTAATAACAATTTTAGAAGTATGAGCAAATGTGTAGGCAAATACTACAGTGTTTTAGTTATCTATTAAAGTCTGACTTAAGCAGAGAATATGAGACATAATAGGTAAAAATTATATTTTGAAGGTATTTTTTTCTGTCAGAATTAACGGGGCTTTTCTCTTTTCAAGTACAGACATCTGAGGTGTTGTGCTACCTGAGGTGTGAATCAATATTTCTTAACTATTAATAGTGTACTCTAGGATAATGGTGACAGTTAATCTTGTAAATTCTTAATCTCAACCTGCTTGTTCTGGACAATGTGACCTGGGGAAAAATTTATTCTAAAGACAAAGTAAGTGATAATTAACTTTGAAACAGGGAAAAAGATAACTGAATTAATAGTGTTAAGTGGTCTTTATTGGCTTTTTGACTAAGGGGATTTTTTTCCCCCTTTTAGCATTAACAGAATTTATTTGAGGAATTACTTTAGTCATGATTTAATTTTAAAATAGGCCAAACCTGTTGACTTTGTTAGGTACGAGCTAAGTGATAATAGCACTAGGACATAACAGGAATAGATTTTTTTTTTCTAATACCTTCTGCCTGGTCATGTCTGAGCTCGAGGAAATGCTGGAGAGGCATTTAAAGCAGTAAGTGTGATGCCAGTATAGTATTTGTGTATCTGCTTTGCCTCTTGGATTTGTAGTCTGAGCACTTGGAATAATGGTGTGAGGGGAGTTCTCTCCTGTAGTCTGACCCATTCTCCTGGTAATGTTCAGTCACTTAAAGCTTCAGAAATGTGTTAGTGGCTTTTCACAAACAAAATTTTTCCCTCCTGTCTCAACAGGCCGACTTAACATCACCTACCCTATGCTGTTCAAGCTGACCAATAAAAACTCTGACAGAATGACACACTGTGGAGTGCTCGAGTTTGTGGCTGATGAGGGCATATGTTACCTTCCACACTGGGTGAGTTGTCTCATGCTGAATGGTCAGAACCTGAAGAGTAGGATTAGTGAGTTGCCAGTTTAATATTAAAGAGGTAGACTGTTTCCTCAGAGTGCATCTCTGCTGGTCATGTTCCTTTAACAGCTCTCAGTCCCAGCTCAGGTTTCCCTCCATGAGAGTTTAACTAAGCAAGGCAGGCTGCTTTTTAAAATGCCTCTGGCTGTTCTTCCTTTAATTAAACCATGGTGAACAGGTGCATTTCAAGGAGGATTGTGGCCCCAGCAAAAATAGATGCACATGAGAAACGAGAGTTGAAAACATCAGACATTGATAGTGGTTTATATCTTTGTTTCCATTCTTGCAGATGATGCAGAACTTGCTGCTGGAAGAGGGAGGCCTGGTGCAAGTGGAGAGTGTTAATCTCCAAGTTGCTACCTACTCAAAATTTCAGCCACAGAGTCCGGATTTTCTTGACATCACCAATCCCAAAGCTGTGTATCCTTCCTCTATGATTATGGAGCAGGGAGGAAAAGTTTTCTTCCAAACAGAAGTGATCAAGCTAGCTTTTCAGGTGTGGCTCATACTCTTCCAGTAGTAGGTGACTACTACAGCCCCTTCTGAAAAGGGGTGGAGAGTTTATGTTCAGAGATGTGGCCAACTGCTGGCACAAAGTGTGGCCTGGAGTAGAGCGGCAGGAATCTTGGTTTAAAGTCCTATGGAGCTGGAGTGTTCCTTAGAAGAACTTGTACACCCTAGTGTTTACTAAAAGGTTATCTACAGTAGTGATAACTTTGAAACAATGTTTGAGAGTCCAAGGATCAGTGACCTATGATGTGGTAACTTTAAAGCTTTGATGTTACATTGAAAATGAATGTTTCATCTTAACATACTCCAAAGATTAGAAAATGCTTTGAGGAACTTTGCCTGTCTAACTACTGGGGATGTTATCGCCATCAATTACAATGAAAAGGTACAGTATACGGCTGAGGATTGCAGACTAAGTTAAGTTGTTGGATGTTGGTGTTAAAACAATCAGCCCAGAGCTGTGCAGTGTTGTTGAATAATCCCAAATGGTAGATTTCACAGTCAGTTTTCTACTGGAGGGAAAAAGGGATCAGTTAAGTCTTTTCCTGAGCTGCTATTTAAACTTTTTGTAACTCACAAGGGAATAAATGTTTGTGCTGTTGAAGTTTTTATAAGTCAAGGGACAAAATTTATCCTAAATTCGTAATTTGTTTTCAAAAATGCAGATGAAAGTACAATAAGAGTGCAGCAAGGTACAATAATAGGTTCTCTGGCTTCTAAGTTAAAGACCTTTGCCCTGAAGTTCTGTGGAGACCCTGCAGTATCCAGTCCTCAACCTAGAGAGCACTTACTTCAATTTTCTGGAAGCTGTCTGATAGAAAAGGTTTAGATTTGCTTTTCTTATACACAAGTTGATCTTTTTCGTGTGCAATCTTAACATTCCCACTACTGTTCCAGATCTATGAGCTTCGGGTAATGGAGACCAAACCGGATAAGGCTGTGTCCATCATAGAGTGTGACATGAATGTAAGTTAAAGCTGATGTGGGCAGTCTGCCCTAACTGTGTCTCCCAAGAGGAGAGGGCACTGGTGTAGTGACAACACTGTACACTGAGCACCTCTGATGCTGCGAGGAAGGTTTAATCAGATGGAGTAGGGAAGATGACTCAAATGAGAGTACTCCACGTGCCTCTGTAACCACATCTATGGTCTGGAGTGACACTTAGGTGACTGTAGTACCTAGAATTTAATGTTTAGCTTCAAAGTGTTTTACACTCTGAGTTTTATTTAATAGCTTTGTCTTGCCTCAAACTCCAGTGATACTGTGGTGCTGTTTTACCACTCTGTTTCAATTACATGCTAAGGCTCATTTCTGGGAGGCTTAGTCTTTTTTTAGTTCTGAGTTAAAGTGTATGACAAGCAAACCTCAGTAGTTTCCAGATCCAATGTAGTCATAATAGTTTGTAGAGTTTTGAGGAATAGTGGTGCAAAGCTTATGATTAAAATAAAAATATTAATCATGTTTATTTTCATGATTTTTGTGTAAATAGGTGGATTTTGATGCTCCTTTGGGGTACAAAGAGCCAGAAAGAAGTTCACAACATGAAGAGACCACAGTAGGTTAAGCTTCTGTTCTTCAAAAATGTATTCCTTAGAAGTCAGCATTGCTTGTGGGGGAACAGTGAGCACCAACACGAGGTATTTTCCTGAAGCAGGTTCTTCAGGTTAAATTTTACTTACCAGAAGCTTTTGCATGTGTTACTTAGGAGGTGGTGGTTTGCCAGCTGTTGATTTTGGAAAGGGGTTGTTCTGAAGTTTTGTTTGGTCAGAAGTATGTGGAGCTGTTCTCATGTGTTGTGCATGAACACAATGAACTCACTTGTTTTTCCCACACAGGATGTGGAAGCAGATCACAGTGGATATGTGAGCGACATAGGATTTCGTGTAAGTCCCCAGTTTCTGCTGTTTTCTGTATGTTGTAAAATGGTGAGGGGAAGTTCTTCCAAACAACTGGAAAATTCTGGTAGCTATTCTGAGAGATGTTTACCTTGTAACTGGCAAATACCTGTGAATGTTTTGTGGTGATGCTGCCAGGAGCAGCATGACTTGCTCTTTTAAAGGGCAATCTGTAAATGGGAGACCTCTGCACCCAGGATTCATCAGCTCCCACGTACCAAAAAGAAACATGCTGAATCAAACAATTAACTAAAAACTATTGTAAGATGTCACAGAATATAGTGTCCCTGTGTACAGAGCTTTCAGTTACCAGTTATGGCTAAGTTACAACTTGTTCTGTATACACAGGCGTTCTCTGGTTCTGGGAACAGATTGGATGGCAAGAAGAAAGGTGTGGAGCCTAGTCCCTCCCCAATCAAACCAGGAGACATCAGAAGGTATGTCTGTTTCATTCAGTTGTACGCAAGTGAAGGATCAGTGTTTGAGCAGAGTTTTAGATGTTTTTTTCCTGCTACTGCAGTATAAACAAACTAATTTTATCATAACTTTGCCTTTAGAAGATAGAAGTCTTATCTTTTAGAGTGACTGTGATGTCCCTGACTACTTAATATGCAGATCCTAAGTTAATGTTGCCAAAAAGCCCAACAAATAATGTTGTTGGTTATAGAACCAACTGGTTCTTTAGAAGACAACTGGGGATAGGCAGCAGGTCCAGACTGACCATGTGTGGGGTTGGGGTTGTGTTTTTTCTTTTTTTTTTTTTTTTTCTTAGAAGGAAGTTTAGAAAATGGAGACTTGGTGGAGGTGTGCAGGGATGTGGGTCCTGTGGTGTTCTGTCATTTCAAGCTGTCAGGATAAAATTTGAACCATGTCCATGGCCCTGAGGAAACCACAGGCTATGTGGAAACATGCCTGTAGCCAAGCTTCCACAGCAGCTCTAGTATTTGGCTATTTACTTCATGCAATGTATCTACCTTCAGAAAATAATGCAGTGGTTTAACTCTGGAATTATTTAGTAATGAAAGTGTACAGCCAGTGTTGATACAACACCAACACACACAAAATACAGGCACAGAACACAGTGTTCAGTTGGACAGTGAGTATAAAACTTTATAATCATTTTATGCTTCTTTTCCAGAGGAATTCCCAACTACGACTTCAAGATTGGTAGAATCACATTCATTAGAAACTCTCGTCCGCTAGTTAAGAAAGTCGAAGAGGTAAACAATGTTAGAAGCTTCCCTGTTTTTGCACAGAATTAGAACTGTTGTCCAAGTTCGTGGTCCCTCTCTCCGTACTTGAGTTTTTACAGTATCCTTCTGTTAAAACATGGTAGCAGCTAAAAACTGGTGAGACTTAGGTGAAAGCAACCTCTAGTGTCCTTGTTCCTGACGGAAAGAGATCAGCCTGGTGTCAGTTTAGTGAGGCAGTGCACACTTGTTTCAGCTGGCTGAAAGGTCACTGAAATGCTATTTTATTTTCAGGTAGAAAGTGGTTATTATGTAGATGAAGGATGTGAAATGTCGGCAGTCAGTGGCTGCTCTTGGAATGTTCTTGCTAACGATCGTTCAGCTTTCATCACACACAAGCAGTGAACAAAGAGGTAACAACCTTTTCCCTCTTTCATTTTTGCAGGATGAATCTGGGAGCCGGTTTATTGCCTTTTCAGGAGAAGGCCAGTCCCTGCGCAAAAAGGGAAGAAAGCCCTAGGTTGTGGTACCTTCAGCTAGTTTGGAGGAAAATAAAGTAACAATTGCAGCATATTGGATCTTAGTTATTGCAGTTGAGGAGAGATTTTGCAACACTTACTGGTTTTGGCATCATGTTTGAAACCAGAGCTGTCAGACTGGCTTAATTTCAGTTGAAAACTGAGTTCTGGGAATTCAGAAGGAGCTTTTTGTATGTGTTGTAAAGAAGGGAACGTAGATCTCTGGTAAACCTGAGAAGTAAAACTAACAAGCTCTACCTTACTAAAGGTCCAGTTCTTAGACTCCATCCTTCCCTCGTATCCCGAGTGATGATGGTCACATGTTGCTCTGTGCTTGGTATTTTCCTTCCTCCATATATATTTTGCCACAATTTCAGGTAAGCTTTTTGGTGTGGTGCAAATGAAGGCTGACACTTTGGTGTTTAGGACTTTTGTGCAGGGAGTCTCATTGAGCTTAGCTTCAGGTGTTGGGTTAGCAATCATTCTAAGCAAACCCCCTGTAATTGCTTTTTATATTTATAATTAATAACAAGCCTTTTAATAGTTCAGATACAATAACATACTGTAGCAATCGAACGGCAGGTGTAGGGAGAGGCGAGGCCCAGCAGCCCTGCCCGGTGCCGGTGGAACGGCGCTGTGGGAACCCCTGCCGGGGAGTCCTCCCGGGGGAATCGGGGGCAACCTGAAAAGCCAAGTAAAGGATCCTGGTAACCATCGTGCGTCCCTGTGTGGTGATTTGGTGACAGCGAGGGGGTGGTGCTGCCGACCGGCCCGGCCCTGCCGGGGAGGGTGGGTGGGTGTGTCTGTGTCTCCCCGCGGGG